AGTGACAAGTGAAGTTGTCAATATCAGTGACAAATGGCGCTGTCTGTCAAAGAAAACGTACGAAAAAAGCTTTTAACGCCACCTGTACGAGTGAAAAGTGACAGTTACTGTTTACAACTAAAGCAATTCCGGTCTACCAATCACACTTGACAGAAAAAGTCACTTTTTATTTAAGTTTGACAGTTCTCAGTGGGTCTAGTTGGTGACATTGTCATAAGTGACAAGTAACACTGTCAAAGATGTCTCTCAAAGAAAACGTACGAAAAGAAGTTTTTAACGTTACCTTTACAAATAAAAAGTGACAGTTACTGTTTAAAAAATAAGCAATTCCATTTGGAAATTATCTTCCAATCACATTTTAACAGAAACAGTCACTTTTTATTGAATTTTGACAGTTGACAGATGGTGACATTGTCATTATCAGTGACAAGTAACGTTGTCTGTCTAATAATTTTGTTTATCGAAAATTTATTGGCGATTCAAGACAACCACGACGTTTAGATTAAACAAAATGAAAAAAAGCAGACAGGGTTAATAAATCGTTGGTTCACAACAATAGTGACAAAACTCAAAAACTTCAATTTTCAAGCTTATTCTAAAAATTTATATAAAACTACATATTTTTATGTGGAAGAATAACCTATTGCCACTTCCATGCGGTTGTGTCGTTCTTACCGTATTACAAATTCGCGAGTTTATGATAATGGAGAACGACACAAATATAGTTGTCAATAAGACAAGATCGTCAATTTTCGGCTACAGTGACAAATCAAATTAAGCCAGTTTTATTAGTAAAAATATTATCTTCAAAAGTGACACAAGTCAAATTATGGTATTATTGTTGAAAATATTATTAATACACTTTTTTAGAAGATCGTCATGACTCAAAAGAACGATGAAAATATATTATCAAAGCAAACTTCTTGTTATTGTTTGAATACAAGGTGTAGAGATTTAAATGTTTTAAAAATGCAAGATATTTTTGAGTTGTGTCACTATTCTTCTATACCAACGAAATGTTGACACTTGTAATTGCAAAAGGCGTCATAAAATATTTTAAAATAGCACGTGACATGTCAAATGTACTATCCATTGGCGTACAACCTCTTTTTTGCGTCTCATCCCCACGGGAAGGTATATAATATTAAACTAATGGTATTTAAATAAATCAAAACTAATTTGGCATCGGATACGCAGTTGTAGGGCAATGATATTTCACTTAAAAAAATAAAACAATTGACGGTAGAACATTGTTCTGTTTTTAAATATTGTTTATAAAACGAAAATACAAAAAATTAAATATAGGTATTAAAGTGTAAAATCGGGGAGAGAAAAAACAAAACAGTGGCAAAATCGACACTTTTACGCACTCAACAAGTGTTCATAACTAATTGTAATCGTAAAAATTTATTAGATTTGGCTTAATCTTGTATTTTTCTAAATTTTGATTACGTACTGGGCGATAATTAAGAGAAAAGTATTTAATTTTGATTAAAAAGTCAGATTTCCAAATTTTATAAAAAATTTCCTGGGCTATATTAAATATAGTCAAGGGAAATTCGTGCAAATTTGGAAAACGAAGTTAAATATTATTTTCATTAATACCGCCCTGTATATATGCTGTAAGAAACACTAGATCTAAAAGTATTAAATGTCAAACTGGTAGCGTACAGTTCGATCTCTAAATTTTAAATTATTTAATCATGTTTCGGTGTCGATCTTCTTAGATTTAACGATAAAAAAGGTGTTTCTGAACGGCTTCGATATTATTTTAATTTACGAAATTTGTACGTGTACAAATTTTAAATACAATCAAAATTGAATTTGACATTAGTTCTACTCAATGTAAAACATAGGCAAAGATTCCGTTGCGCGACATTTTAAATTTTTCCTGTAAAATATCGAAAAATTTCGTAAATATATAGTGCGACGCGAAAATGTGGAATGTATCGTTTTTTGTACGATGTATTTCGTGGTTTCGCGACTGACTATTGTGAAAATGTGATTAATGCTAGTTTAACGACGCCCTGTATGCGGTGGTTATAAAAATGGATGTTTTGCAAAATTTAAAATGTCGTTTAATGGACGATATTTGGAATTTCAATGTAAATATTAACAAAATACTTATTTATTATAAACAAATACAATTTTATTATAAACAAATATTGTTTTTCTTCAAACATCACACAACCTTAATAAAAAGTTGTAGTTACACAATTCAGTTCACGACAAAAGTTGAACAGGTAAGTATAACCCAAAAAAAGAATTATATCTGTAACGTTTGGAGGGACCCAGCAAACATTTTGTGCAGGCTGATATAAGGCCCAATAACTGTTTCCCTCCAATTGTAATAATGGCCATTTAACTTTTATAATTAAAAGGCCGGCATATATAGGTCACTACGGCCGACAGGCAGGCCGAAGTCACTTAGCCATTAAAACTAGTTAATAGGCCTGCATTTTCTCTTTAATGTCTAAAAATAAATATATTGGCAATTAATGGCCTATTGGGAAATTAACGGGTAAATTGCTGGCTTTTTACCATATTAATACTGACTGCTGAATAAATGTCATGTGTCAGGCACATGACCAAACAGGATATTCGATATTGCCTCTTTGATAGTGAATACTGGCAATGCGAGACTGGCCTCATGGTACATGTCCAACATCGGTGTCTCCATCTATAAACGCGGGACGGAGCCCTCCTAGACTATTGGAGTTGGGTCTGCGGCAATTAAAAGCCTTTTACCATACTTTTACCCTTCATAAGGCCATCATCAAGAAACATAATGTTGGGCCGCTATCGAAAGGTCAAAAGTAGGCTTTTATCTTTTAATCGTCGCATTCATTTTCCCTCCAATTGCATCAAAAGGCCAGCATTATCCCGGCAATTTATTGTTTGTTGGGGTCTTAAGCTTCACTTGGTCCATTATGCATCCTTCTAAGTTGATAGGAACCTCCCACCATACAGATTTTATGTAGTTGATGACAACGTCGCCTTGGTATACGAAAGAGATTATAAATACTATTAAAGCAAAAGATCTAGCTAGGAAGAATTACAAACACTGCAACATACCTTCATTTTATAATCGTTTTCGTCTTCTAAGAAGTACTATCAATCGTCAGATTAAAGTTCCTTATGCTGGATATGTTCAAAGCACTGAAATTAGGGTCTTACTACAGATTTGAATAGAGGAGATAGGAAAAGGCCATTTTCCCCAGTGTTTCAAAATAAGCATACCATGTAGGCCACCACGTTTGCAATTTAAGCGTACCACGCGTACCAGTTGCTGTAGTGTTTCGACAAAAGTGTCATTTATGTCAACTCGTCTTGGTTTTTATCGAATTTTGCTATTTTAGTGAATTTAAAAGAAAAAGTTTTTACTATAGACAATAAAATGAGAAAGTTGTTTAAACAACGAGGATTCAGAAAACATTACATTCCACAAGTAAGACATCTTTTTTACCAGAACCGTATTCTTATCACATTTTTTCATTTTCTAGAAAACAAAATATCGTAGTACAATAACAAACTGTATGTAGAGATATCTAACGTTGATATTGTTATACATTTTTTAGATTGCGTCTTGGTTAATAGCTATTGGAAGAAATCATTGGAAAATATAAATGCAAATAACGGTATTTGTTCCTACCTTTTCCATAAAGATAATTAACGGTTCAACGAATAGGTACATTAAAAAAATAATTTCGTGGGTTCGAAAAATTCACAAGTATACCTTGATGTTGTTTAAGAAATCAGAAAATATCTAACAAAGTAATTAAAATCAAAGCTTGCTTGCAGTACCCAGTTAACTTAGGGACAATTTGAATTACGTGTAAAATCGTAGGTAGCTAATAGTAAATATTTACTCACTATCTTTGAAAAAAAGTAGACCAAATACCAGACAGACATTTATCTAAATAGTTTCTATGATACAAAAGGAATTTTTGTAAAGAAAAACTGAAATGTGTTATCTTTTATTTACTGTCTGTCTCAAAGTCACGCATGCAACATGAAATCATGAATGTTTTTATAGTATGAACGCTACACTTGAATATCTATATGGTTAATAGTAGGTTCTTGGAATAGAAAATATACAGAGGGTCTTCAAATATTTGTAATATTCCTTCTCTATAGAATTACATCCAAACAAATATTTACTATTGCGACTTTCTAATAGGTAGTTTTGAAAATTTGTTTACCTATTTCGACAATAATTGTCAAAATACAAATGGTATTTTAAGTTAGATTACTAACTGTAGAGTGCTAATGTATATTTTTTTACTAATTTTAGATATTAATACATTAGTTTTTTTAGATTATCAATGAATCTAATTGCTATAACAAATTTAAAATACCAAAATATCATTTATAATTCTGGACCTCAGAGCCAAACAGTATTAAGTCCACATTTTTTAAATTTTTGGTTACTTCTACATAATTTTTCCTGTTCTTTCCATTGGTGCTAAGTATTAAGTCCTATTATTTTTAGTTTTCCAGATATATTTTTAAAAACAATATTAAGTCCAATTAAAAATACAGACAGTCAAAAGTTTCAACAAGCTCTCCTGTAAAATTTTGTAAAATGGACTTAATACTCTTTGGCTCTAAGGTCCACAATTAGTATCAATAATAGAAGGTCTATGACTGAACCTTGTGGAACTCCTGAAATTGTTGAGTTGCTTACGCATTTGTATTTCATATGAAGAAAATATTTTTAAACACACTGTGTATGTATAATGAATCATTAAAAAAATTAAAATACATACCTTTCGTACAATTTTATTTAATAAATAACAATAACAATAATACAAAAACAACATGAATAGAAAAATGGCACTTTTTGGACTCAGTTCAGTGTAGAAAACTGCACTTTTTCACACAAGACTGGAAAATACAGATTTTAATTTAATATAGTAACAATAATTGGTATTTCTTTAAAATTGTATGGATTTGTTAAAATTATAATGAATGTTTTAATTTAATTTTTGAATCAGGAAGGCATTTATACACTATCAAACAAGAATACAACTAGGTATATTAGTTAGTTTTGGACACCAAATTTGAGCTAAATTTTGTATTTTACAAACCCATAAAATTACAAATATTGTAATACTTCCTTCTTTTTGCTGGAGTCTTATAACACCCATAAAGATCGTTCAATTTCATGCAGTCACCCTTAGACATGGCTTTTCTTTGACCGATACCCTTAACGTTGGGTTGCTTCGGCGTAATAGTCGGCTTTCCCTTTTTCTTACTGAAGAAAAACCTCCCATAGTGCATGATGGAATCGTAGTCGTATTCAAAGCTGTATGTTGTGTTGTCTAAGCTCTGCTTGTCGAAATTCGCCTTGAATTCTGAAACAATTTGTTCATATACAATTCATTTAAAAAATCCGAAGCAGTCCCATTCGATCCCTGTGGTACATCCGACTAAGTTGAAAAATCCAGTGGCGTAGAATCTTTAGACTATTTTAAAGTAAATATTATGTAAACGAAATTAAAAACCATTATCAAATCTTAAACAAAAAGAAAAAAATCTTAATCATAACCTGTGATTTTTCGTTTAAGGACTGATGATGGCTATTGAGCCGAAACCGGTAGCCTATGCCAACTTTGCCTGTGTTAAAATAGCCTATACGATTTAAATAATATGTATTTTATTCGCATACTTACGGGGTATGATATTGTCCATGTGGATTTTCACGAATTTATCCCTGTCCCATCTTGACTGTTCATGGAAAACCCCCAAAGCGTGCATGAGTTCATGAATGGCCCTTCCTTCTGTACCTAGACAGTTAGGTCCTTTATTATCTGGCGGTTGTAGACTAAAAATGTGGAGTTATTAGGAACATTTTTAACTTATAAATACAAAACAATACTATACCTAAGTATTTGGGCACCTCCATATCTTCCAACGAAAGACCAGCAACCTTTGGGATACTTTATGGGCCATATCAATAGGTAGTCCTTAGCATTACCATCCCATGGTACCAATCTAACACAAGACATGAAATTTATTAGTTTGATTGCTTTCAGAATTGTCACTAACTCAGATGGTTCTAGACAAAAAAAGAAAAACAACTTTATTATTTGAACAACAACGATATTTGGAAGTATTGATATAATTTATTACCATATAAAGGGCTGATAGTATAAGGTACGACTCCGTTTTTCCATAATTTGTCGGGAAATATGTCAAATTTTAATCCTACTCTCCAGAAATTGTAAAAATCGTTCGTCAAAGCCATGTCCCCTTGGAATAGTCCTGGAGAGAGCTCTGGATCCATGGTTTCTTCATCAGATAACGTGATATTAGATAAACCTGTAAATAATTTAAAACAGATATTTTATCAAATGTTTTATGTATACAATATTCTAATAAAAATGGTATTTGATGGTAATGATAATAACGATTTGAATACCTAAAGTCTAAATTATTTACTTAATATTTATTGTTTTAGATTCTGCTTAAGAATGTCATTAACTGCAGAAGTAAATATTTTTCTCACAAAACTAACAAGAAATTTTATATTTTTCCTACTATTATTATTACTCTTAGAGATAAAAGGATGAAGATTTTAAATATTTGTGGTAAAAAAAAAGGAGTTGTAAGCGAAATATGTGAAGCCAATTTACAAACAGATATTCTAAAACCCGAGATAGAACCTCATCATAGTTTTACTCATAAAGCTTATGACGAAAAAAGGCGATTGATTTGTGCTCAAAAAGTTATTGTTCAGTTTTTGGGTAATATTTATTATTATATTTATCAAATAATACCCAAATTGGACACATATGTTCAAAAACTAATAGGATATTTAAATATGTCAACTTGTTAATTTTTGCATCCTTCATCTATTAAAAGCATAAATTAGATGTTTTCTATTTTTATTGCAATTTTTATACCTTTTATTGCAAGAAAATATGTGATAATTTTAAAAAGTTATAACTTTTAATTTTATGGTACACACTGCGCCTTTATTTTTGTTTTGTTTTAGATATAGATATTCCTGGGTATGGAGGTTTTTGGAATGATGTGCATAAATATCTATCTGAATGAGGGTGTGTTTCAAAGCCCTCCTGTACTAAAGCTAGAGGCTTATTGTGCCCGAAATAGGCATTGCAACTGGGTAAAGGCCATAAAAGGATAATAAGTATAAGATTATCAGAATTATAATGATTTTTCCTTGCATTAAGTCAGTATTAGGGATATTTAAAACAATGCAAGAGAGAGGTCCGACACGCCCAACATAGGGCGCGGCCATTTTGATAATACAATATATGACAACCGCCTATAATAAAACAGCAGTCTTCTGCGTATCCTAAATTTGTATCCCTGGAGTGGAGGTTATTTTGGAACTTTCAACTGGTCCAAGTGAGCTAACTGATTCTTTAGCAATAAACTGTGACTCCAAAAATAATATTCACTGACACTGACAGCAGCAAGCAAAATATCAGGTGCGTTTTAATCATCCGCTTCTGCTTCCGGAATTGTCGGTTCAGTCGTTCTAACCTGTCAGATTAAAACAAGAAAACCGACAATTCCGAAGCAGAAGCGGATGATTAAAACGCACCTATTAAAAATATTGCGCCAAGATGTAGGCAACACGTAATAAGGGTTCAAAATGGCGGAGTTTTCTATCTCCTTTTAAAAGGCACTCAGAAAGCTGCGCAGTGCGACCATTCTCCGTATAGTAAAAGAAAATCAAAGTATGTGCCGCGCCCTATGTTGGGCGTGTCGGACCTCTCTCTTGCCCCGTATAGTAATCAAAGTATGTGAACTACAATCACAAAACTATTGTTTTTTCTTCTGTGACAGAACACTTACCACAATACTGTAACCAAGTTGTAGTAAGCTTATAAAGAAATGTCTTTAAATTTATGCTACGAGAAGGTAGCACTTTAAAGAGACATTTAAGAAAAAAGTGGGCAATAATTTAAAAACTACTTGATTAAATCAAAAATCAGCAAATTTGTATAGGTTTAAAACAGAAAAGCGTATAAACTTTTTTACACCCACATGGATAGGAGCTAATCTACGCACAGACTAAAAAACGAAAAAGTATGCTATTGCGTTTAACTGAACGAATATATTTTATATCCATTCTAATTAGTGAGAACACTGCAAAAAAATGAAATCCACCAATCACAGTTTATATTTTGGATACCCAACTATTATTTTTAAAATTTGAAATAAGGGAAAATTCTGTCAAACTAATTGTCATTATAGTTTTTAGCTATTGAGCTTAAATATACATTAAAATGAGTTATTTTTATGTAGAATCGATAAATAATATCAATTTGGTTTTTATTTGATCCACATTTTGATAAAAAATTAAAATTTTAATTAAACTATATGAATCTAATTTAATTACGAGTATTAAAACTAAAATCCCAAAAGTGGCGTGGAGGCGAGCACAGAGCATCTCCCTTCCACGCCGTAAGTCCGAGATCGAATCTGTGCTGGGGGCTAATTAAATTAAATATTTTTTTTCATGTTTATTTTATAAATTAGTCTTATTCATAAATTATTTTAAAATTAGTTATTTTGTCTTAATAACCTAAAATATTTTTTTAAATTTGTAGATTTTCTTTATTGGGTCGTAGAAAAAATATACTATACAACTCGAGTGGATTGTCCACATCCACTCTTGTTTTACAAACTACTATTTTCAAATAAATTAACAAAATAAATACTTTTTGAAGGTTTGGAAAAAAATTTAATAAAAATTAGATTAAAAATACATACTTTAAGGTGTTTTAAATTTTTTTATTTATTAGTTTTGATATGTTACTTTATTTATTGTTTTTATAAATTTTGGTATTTATTTTTTTTACATATTAACATCTACTAATCTATTTATTTTACTACTCTAATAAAAAAATTATTTTTTTTAAAAATTACCGAACGTAAATAAATAAATATTATTTACTTTATTTATTTTATTGATGATAATAATACCTTCGTCACTAACCGATATCAGGCACAGGTGGATAGACGACATCGGGCACAGGAGGCAACAAAAATCTGCTACTGTAACACTCCAAACCCATCAGTAGCCCAAAAACGACCAACGAAATCGAATACATGGCGCGACCCGCTTTCAGAAACTGACAATCGAAAACTGACGCCAATATTTTACCAATAATAATCTTAGGATGGTGTCTTTTCGTCTCTTTAATAAAATGTAAACCACGACCTAGATTGTCGTTTAGTTTTGAATCGAAAACGTTGTTTGGTTGTTGAAGAATCGTTGTGAATTGTGAAAAGAAAATAGAATCGCTTTGAGGCAGCCATTTCACTGTATTTTACATAAATAGTCAAAAACAGATGTTTTACTATAATAGTCAATAAGAAATTTGCCTCAGCTAAACAGGTTAATTTAAAAAGTATTATCCGAAACATTCTAAAATGACTTTAAACATATTTAAATTTTAATAGCATACAGGAATTACTAGTCTTATGTAGAAAAAGATTTAAACATCAATTCAGTAAGATCAAACGTTCAAGATAATATTAATGTCGTGCGATCGCCTGGTAATTAACTTTGTTTTGAAATAGCTGACACTTCTTGGGGTTTAGCATCAGTTGGGCAGCTTGAAGTCTTTTAAAAACACCTTTAAAGCTTTTTAGATGTTTACAAATGTCTTCCCAAAGACTATGATGTAGTTTAAATACACCAAGCATCTTCTCCAGGATAACATTTAATTTGTCACAATCCAGATCCGATGGTAAAAACTGTCTTTTCCTTGTCTTCTGGATCCTTTTCCACCTACCAATATACAGAATTTAAGACAAAACTAGAAAATAGTATATTTCGGGCCAATGTGTCCAAAGTATCGTCGATTCTAGGCAGAGGATAAACTCTCTTTCTTGGTAACATTGTTCAACTGATGGTAGTCCACACATAACCTCGTAGTTCCATTCGTTTTCTAGACCATGACTTCCGGAGAGACCCATGAGTTAGTAGAACTTTCTATCACCCTGTCTTCCTCCATTGTCCGAACAATCCTTTCAGCTTCCTCTCTCTTAGCCATACAATAAATGCCTTATGGAGTGGAGCTGTCACTCTTAAATATGAAATAAAACTGTTTGAACTTCGTTTTAAATATTTTATTGGAGTAGCTAAAGTGATAAGGGAAAATAATTCATTGATATAATCCATGGCCGATATATCGTTATGTTTTTGGGACCGTATTTCCCAGTAGGATTCTTATGATGGGGATTCTTATATATAAACTATCATCAGTAATATAAGAATATTAAGTTACCTAATTTAAATAAAGTAACTAGATAATTTATACTTTAAACGAAGTCATTAGAAAAGTAAATTAAATTCCTATATATTTTTTTATCGTCCTGAAATACTTCTACTTATGCTAAATAGGTAAATATATATTGGTTTGTTTTATTCTTATTAGGAATATTTTGTCATGTTAAAATTAAATGCTTCATGTATTTTTTCAGTCCTACCATTGTATAGCTTTTCAACAGGTATAAATATTTTATAGAATTTCAAATCCTTGCTGTAATTCTAAATATTTTAGAAGCAATAAAATATTTATTATATTTTTTGACATGACTATAATGTCATATTTTGTTTTCAGTTCAATAAAAACGTACCTATCTTTTAAAACATTATTTTGTACTTTTTAATCTATTTGCAGTCACTATTTTCCACATACTTTGATTACTATACGGGGCAAGAGAGAGGTCCGACACGCCCAACATAGGGCGCGGCCATTTTGAACCCTATGACACAGTTTATAGCTAAAGAATCAGATCGCTCACTCTGCGTCGGCACTTTTTATCTCAATGTTCCAGTTTATACACTGCGCAACTCAGATAATACAATATATGACAACCGCCTATAATAAAACAGCAGTCTTCTGCGTATCCTGAATTTGTATCCCTGGAGTGGATGATATTTTGGAACTTTCAACTGGTCCGAGTGAGCCACATACTTTGATTACTATACGAGGCAAGAAAGAGGTCCGACACGCCCAACATAGGGCGCGGCCATTTTGAACCCTGTGACACAGTTTACAGCTAAAGAATCAGATCGCTCACTCTGCGTCGGCACTTTGGATCTCAATGTTTCAGTTTATACACTGTGCAACTCGGATAATACAATATATGACAACCGCCTATAATAAAACAGCAGTCTTCTGCGTATCCTGAATTTGTATCCCTGGAGTGGATGTTATTTTGGAACTTTCAACTGGTCCGAGTGAGCTAACTGATTCTTTAGCTATAAACTGTGATTTCAAAAGTAATATTCACTGACACTGACAGCAGCAAGCAAAATATCTGGTGCGTTTTAATCATCCGCTTCTGCTTCCGGAATTGTCGGTTTAGTCGTTCTAACCTGTCAGATTAAAACAAGAAAACCGACAATTCCGAAGCAAAAGCGGATTTTCTTTTACTATACGGAGAATGGTCGCATTGCGCAGCTTTCTAAGTGCATTTTAAAAGGAGATAGAAAACTCCGCCATTTTGAACCCTTATTACGAGTTGCCTACATCTTGGCGCAATATTTTTAATAGGTGCGTTTTAATCATCCGCTTCTGCTTCGGAATTGTCGGTTTTCTTGTTTAATCTGACAGATTAAAACGACTAAACCGACAATTTCTGAAGCAGAAGCGGATGATTAAAACGCACCTGATATTTTGCTTGCTGCTGTCAGTGTCAATGAATATTATTTTTGAAGTCCACATACTTTGATTTTTGAAGTCACAGTTTATTGCTAAAGAATCAGTTAGTTCACTCGGACCAGTTGAAAGTTCCAAAATAACAACCACTCCAGGAATACAAATTCAGGATACACAGAAGACTGCTGTTTTATTTTAGGCGGTTGTCATATATTGTATTATCCGAGTTGCACAGTGTATAAACTGAAACATTGAGATCAAAAGTGCCGACGCAGAGTGAGTGATCTGATTCTTTAGCTGTAAACTGTGTCACAGGAATCAAAATGGCCGCGCCCTATGTTGGGCGTGTCGGACCTCTCTCTTGCCCCGTACTTAGATAATATAATAGCAGATAGGCCACCACTGCATAAAGTTATACAATATTAATCTCGCTATCATATAATCAGTATCTCTCTTTCTAATGAAAGCTTTCTCACTCGTTTTAGAATTCTCAGCAGTAGCTTACCGTAAAATAATTTCGCTGGGTCATTTTAAATGCGAAAATGTTGACCAAATAGAATATAAAATAAAATGTTTTAAAAGGTAGGTAGGTAGGTAGGTAGGTAGGTAGGTAGGTGCATTTTTAATGAAGTGAAAACAAAATATGACTTTTTTGTTTTGAATATAATATTAATAACAATTACTTTTAACACCACAACACGAACAAATTTAAATTAAACACTGGAATAATTGTCTGAGAAAAGCTTTGTAAAACTGACAAATACAAACAAAGAGATAGAGATATTAATCTATTTCTCTCTAATTAGAATTCTCGACCATATTATCATGGCGACACAAACATTGTTTACTGTCCTCTCTTTACTACTTACTTACTCTGAGGCCCCGTATAGTAATTAAAGTATGTGGCTATTTTCACATTTAAAATAACCCAATGCAATCCGTTTACGTACGCTACTGCTGAAGATTCTAATATGAGCGAGAAAGTATGCATTAGAAAAAGAAACAATGATTTTATTAGAGCGACATCAACGATTGCTGCGTTTGAGAATCCACATCGGATGCATTTTTTACATCTCGAGCGTTTTTTTATCCACATCGGACACATCTGTCCCATTACATTTACGTATACTGAATCACGTGATCAAAGATTTTTTACATCTCAGATGCATCCGATGTGGATTCTCAAACGCAGCAATTGTATAGATTTATACATGGGTAGCCTATCTGTCAATATATTATCTAAGCTAAACATACATAAAAAATTAAGGGTTTGAGAATTTTCTCATGGACCCAATTATTAGATTTTAACCAAATTTATATGGGACCACCCTTGAAATACCCCATTTCTAACAAAAAAAGAATCATTGAAATCGGATACCGTGTTAAAGAATTATCGCTGAACATACATAAAAAAAAATATTGCAACGAATTGAGAACTTCCGCCTTTTTTGAAGTCGGTTAAGAATAGTAATAAGACAATAACTTATAAATTACATAGTATCTAGAACCTTCAAATAACAGTTCAAATAGTTGTTATCAAATGGCTGTATTATCTTAAAAAAGAAGGCCAATAAATAAAAAAAACATCATTGGAAGTTTAGGTCATATCTTAATGGAATGCAATAATAATACAGACAATATAAAATTCTTATACCAAAAAATGGTTTCAGTTTTTCGACCCCAGTATTCCCCTTTATGTTTAAATGATTATTTACGAAAACCAATTTGCAGCACAGCCATAATCACGTCATTTTTAAAATCTTCTAACATTAATTTATAAAAAATATTGTTCACCTTTCTTTTTAATTTTACAAAGCCAAATAAGTGTTTTAAATTTTATTATATTTATTTACATGTAACTAATGTTAGTGCTGGTTAAATAACTTGTATAAGTTGAGACCAATAAATGAAAACAAAAAAAACAATGATAAATATTTCCAATACAACTCTGTTTTAATGGTATTACGTATATCGATCAAACATCAATGCGTGACAGTGTGACTTACATATAACAAGACTATAATTTTCAGAATTTCCTAATTTTTAATTCGTACTGTCTTTAATGGAGGAAAATAAAGAACAAAAACCACCACAACATGAACCTGTGGAGGAAAGAAAAGCTTCAAAGGAGGACAAAGAAAAAACGGAAAATCCACCAGCCGCAGTTGAAAAACCGGCCAAGACAAGTTATGGTAGAAAGAAAAGAAAGCCTAAAATTACCATTGGCGTACGCGAACCTATACGAAAAACCATATACGATATCCTTTTGGAAAATCTAAAATTTTCAGGAAGAGTAAGTACTTTTTTGTTGTTTACCCTTTGAGGCATCCCTTTACTCCCCTCAAGGGATTCAGACAGGCTCTTCCCAATCAGTAATGGATTCCAACCTGTCTCACCTCTTCTGGGGTTCAAGCAAGATATTAGATATAATAAATACTATTATTTATTGTTTCGGCCTTTACTTGATGAAAATCCATTTAATTTTGAAAGAGTAAAACCAAATTTGGTAGATTTTCACACTTTTATTTTAAAAATAAAAATTTTTAAACAAACACTAACATGACATATGTTTCGAAGTACAACATTTGAAAAAGAAGTTGTACTTCGAAACATATGTCATGTTAGTGTTTGTTTAAAAATTTTTATTTTTAAAATAAAAGTGTGAAAATCTACCAAATTTGGTTTTACTCTTTCAAAAATATAATAAATACGCTCCGATTATATTATCTTTTTTTAATATATTGAATAAGTACAGTTTGTTCGCTATACTTACGCGGGTTTCGGATTAACCAAATTATGCAAATTAGTCATTGACAACCAATTCCAATAAACCTCTTCCCAAGAAATTAGGTAAAATTGCCCTAATGGTCAGATTTAAATTAAAATAACATTAGGATAGGTACTAAATTTGTTACAAATATTGCAGTTGAATTGATTCTTTGCAAGTGTTTACATTGTATGCGTATTGTAAATTAAGTGGAAATTTTAAAAATGCCTAGACGTGTGTTAGATGTAGATAGTCTAATTTGTAGTGTGCATAAGTATTTTACAGATGAAAAAGGAAATGGCGGTCCTTTAAAATCGGTAATGTCTGTACAACAACGCGTATGCGATCCTCTAGGAATTAGTGAAACCAAATTAAGAGGAGTATTACAAAATCACAATAGTGAACTGCCAAAAGAAGATCACCTCAAAACTCGCCCATCATTGAAAACGAAAGATATTCCAGATGGAAAGAAATTTGAAATTCGTGATACCATCTATCGAATGAGGGCCAACAAGGAACATGTGACCTTAAATACAATTCTCTCGGAATTAATAGATAGAAAATTTGACGACATTGGCAGAACAAGTCTATGGCAAGTGATACATAACTTGGGTCTCAAATTTCAAAAGGAGGATAACAGAAAGGCCATTTGTAAAAGAAGTTCTGTCGTGCACAAGAGAATTAACTTTCTACTGGTGCAACCAAGAGAATATGGCAAGATGATAACGTAAAGTCCATCAAACATACCAATGAAGAAGGGAAGCGACACATAATTTTACATGCAGGAGGGAAATCGGGTTTTATATAAGGTGCTGATTTTATATTTTCATCTAAATCAAAATCCAGTGACTAGCACGATAACACAGAAATATTTGTAAAATGGTTGCATGAAAAACTTCTCCCAGGTTTAAGTGAGTCCAGCGTAATTATTTTAGACAATGCACCTTACCATTCTGAAGTATTGAACAAAAGTCCAACGAATTATTGGACTGTTGATAAAATTAAAGAATGGTTGACAAAGGAACATATACCATTTTCTCAATATATATTAAAATCAGAATTATTACGCTTGGCAAATATACAAGCAAAACCAAAAACCTTTGTTGTGGATCAGATTATTGAAAGTTACGGTCATCAAGTTTTACGTCTGCCACCGTATCATTGCCAGTTTAATCCCATCGAATATATATGGGGAATAGCAAAACAATATTATGACAACCATATTGGGCCTAATGGTTATAGTGACGACGCAGTTCGGGAAACTTGGCGAAAAGCACTTTCAATTGTAACTCCAGAAGTGTGGCGAAACTGTATATCCAAGTGCGAGAAACTAATAAAAGATTGATGGACTCGTGAAAATAAAATAAACGAAATAAGTCCAATCATAATAACAATTAATGGTGATGACAGTGATGATGATATTTTGGATGATAATGACTGATTTTCATTTTTGTTGGCAAGTTCTTTTTTTTATTTTTTATTTGAAATTCTCTACATGGAACACATTTTTATGTTAGAAAATATTTTATTTAAGCTAAATAACCCTCTTATTATACATAGACCATATTTTCTGTGTGAAGTGTAATATACAATTATTATTAGATTTATAATAGCCACATTAGACTCCATTAATGAAGAAGTTTAATTCTGCTCTCAATTATACAAAAGATTCTCCATTATTATTTAATTAAAAAGTTGTACATTATTTTTCATTTCATTTAACCAGTTGATATTTCCCCAAAGAACAGGTCAAACTTTCGGGTACTTCCCTGGAAATACTCATAAAATTTTTAATCCGAAACCCGCGTAAGTATAGCGAACAGACTGTAAGAGCAGCAGCTAAAGGAAAACATTGATCTGTCACGATTGGGTTAGCATCATTATTTTTAAAGCCAGAAGTTGATACTAAATTTTCAAAGAGATTTTTCACATAATATAGTCATCTTTCTACTTTTGAGGTTTCTTTAAAGAATATACAGTATGTTGAATCAATATGAAATACTCACATATACAGGATGTTTCAGAGGGAAAATGTGGGACACTTGGATTATTCGAAATCTCCCAATAATAATGAATGGGTCTACCTCATTACCTAGATACAAAGTATTTTTTTCAATTTCGCCTGAATTTTTTATTTAACCTTATCTTAACTGCATAAAAATGTTAAATCTGGCATGTAGACCTTTCTCTTTATAAAGATAAAGATTTCTGTAATTTTTAGACACATTTTATATACTTTGTTGCATGTTATTGAACTTATTAATGAATTGATTTTGAAAATGTAAAAACTTTTTAATTCTCTAAAAAACAAATATCTATAAGATGATGTTTTTAAAAACACGTTTTTTTAATATAATAAACAGGATCTTAGACTGTAGCGCATATTGAAATCATATTAATAATTTTTTTTATTTTCAGAAAACATTTATCCATCGATTGATTTACGCAGGAATACACACATTCCCAATAGAACAGAACTGTAAATTTGACACAGCAACTCCGATAACAAAATTTTTCAGAAACATTATAAACAAAACGAACAACTCTGTGTATGTTTTAGAAAAAATGACGGGATTTTTGGTATATTACGATATGCATTTTATACACTTGGTCGAGGTGAGTCTCATAATTATACCGCGAGAGGATTAAGTCTTGTCAACTCCATTATTTTAAACGACTGAATACGTCGATTGGATTATCAGTCCTTAAAACACAATTAAAATTATTTATAAACTATTGCCTGATCAATTTTACTACTATTTTCCTTTTTCACAGTTTGAAGTTTGACGTAGTAAAATACCAAGATTTACTTGAAGAAAAACACCAGTACACCAATATTTTTAAATAAATTTAAATGCTTATAACCATGTTCATCTAAAATTATTTTGATCGGAGACTTTAATACATATTAAATTTCATATCTTTAACTATCTTACTTTTACTATTTATCTTTAACCATCTTTCTCTAACTTTTACTATCTATCTTTTATCATCTTTCTCTATCATTTTTTTACTTTTTTTACTATCTTTTACTATCTTTTACTATCTTTTACTATCTTTTACTATCTTTTACTATCTTTTACTATCTTTTACTATCTTTTACTATCTTTTACTATCTTTTACTATCTTTTACTATCTTTTACTATCTTTTACTATCTTTTACTATCTTTTACTATCTTTTACTATCTTTTACTATCTTTTACTATCTTTTACTATCTTTTACTATCTTTTACTATCTTTTACTATCTTTTACTATCTTTTACTATCTTTTACTATCTTTTACTATCTTTTACTATCTTTTACTATCTTTTACTATCTTTTACTATCTTTTATTATCTTTTACTATCTTTTACTATCTCTTACTATCTCTTACTATCTTTTACTATCTTTTACTATCATCTTTTAATCTAAATATGCATGTCAAAGATCCTACTCGAATTATAGATTAATGAGGTACAATTTCAAATGGTGTACGTATATACCGTATCTATGTATCTGTAACATATGGAGGGTTATTTAACCCACTGCACTTAGGCCTCATTAGGCCCATTGTGCATTCTACTAAGTAGGTATGCACCTCATAGCTCGTGAGCAAGCCTACAAATTTAATGTAGTTGACAACGTCGCCTAGAAATGCTTCTCTTATATCGGCCAATTCTCGCCGAACACAAATCATCTAATAAATGAGAGCGTTGGGCAATCGTAGAGGATACGCTCAATGGTCTCATCTTCTTGGTCGCACCCCCTGCAGAGTGCGTATTTTGACAGCCCATGATATGGAAGTGCTTTCATACATGGCCATGACCAGTCAGGCGCAGATTCTGTAGGCTGACTGTTGATTCATTAAAAATGTTTACCATTATTTGTGCAAATTTGTTGAATCCAGTTTTTCTATTAGAAAAATTATTATAAAAAATAAAACAAACTCTGCATAACTTCAGGCATAAGGTGTTTAGCTAAAAATATACAATGCCCTTCATTATATTAAAAAAAATGTCCAAGATAAGTTTTTCTTAACCTATTACCTCCAGTACAGAAAAATATATATGTTAACTTTTCAATCCTGACTCCAGGAGAACGGTATAGAAATACAATGCTATTGAATAGAGATATTTACAATATTTCTTTGATTTATTTGCTTGTGAAAAGAAAAGTACATTTGATATTCAGGTTTTACTTTAGTATTATTAAATCATTATTATATTTAGCTGTATCTTAATAATTTTAGAGTGCACCTTATTTTATTTCAGGGCGATGAAGACGCTTTGGGAATACATTTACGATTATTGTACGAGTCTGAAGATTTTGATAAAATTGAAAAATTGAAATTATTTGCCGTAGTTAACCACATACATGCTGTAAGTTATTATTGTAATTAAAATCGTCGATATTGTGCAACAAGAGTAGATATGGACAACCCACTCGAGTTGTACAGTATATTTTTTCTACGATCCACCAACGAAAATTATTTTAGGTTATTAAGACCAAATAACTAATTTTAAAATAATTTATGACTTTTTAGTAATTTATAAAATAAAATAAACATGATAAAAAAAAATAATTTTATTAGTCCTCCGCCTAGATTCGAACCCCAGTCTCTCACGTGAAAGACAGATGCTTCTACATTTATGATTTTAATTTTATTATTCCTAATTAAATTAGTTTTATATAGGTTGATTCAAATTTAAGATTTTTTCAAAATGTGAACCAAATATAAATAAAAATGCTATTATTTATCGATTCCACACAAAAAATAACTCATTTTAATGTATATTTAATCCCAATAACTAAAAAATACACTGACAATTAATTTGACAGAATCGCAAATTTAAAGTTTTAACTGTTTTTTTTTGTCACTTTTAAACAGTAAAAAAATCTGTATATAATTATTGAAACTACTATGATATGCTATTGTTAAATTTCAGAGAATGATGACTGATTGGCTGTTTTATTATGGAACTCCAAGGAAGTGTGTGGCTACAATAGACATTTCGACTGGGGAAGATTTGGCCATGGTCTTGTACATATGCATTCAGAAAGTTTTAAAATTAATTATACAAATTTCGTCCCAAATGTCTCAATCAGATATACTTGTGGATCCGTCAAGTTTGGTAAGTTTTATCTCTGACTTTTACTATCAAGAAAAGTTTCTTCTAACTTTTTTGAGTAAAACACTTATTACCAGAGTTACCCAATCAACTTTTTCAACTTTTCAACTTTTTCAACTTTTTCAACTTTTTCAACTTTTTTAACTTTTTCAACTTTTTCAACTTTTTCAACTTTTTCAACTTTTTTAACTTTTTCAACTTTTTCAACTTTTTCAACTTTTTCAACTTTTTCAACTTTTTCAACTTTTTCAACTTTTTCAACTTTTTCAACTTTTTCAACTTTTTCAACTTTTTCAACTTTTTCAACTTTTTCAACTTTTTCAACTTTTTCAACTTTTTCAACTTTTTCAACTTTTTCAACTTTTTCAACTTTTTCAACTTTTTCAACTTTTTCAACTTTTTCAACTTTTTTAACTTTTTCAACTTTTTCAACTTTTTCAACTTTTTCAACTTTTTCAACTTTTTCAACTTTTTCAACTTTTTCAACTTTTTCAACTTTTTCAACTTTTTCAACTTTTTCAACTTTTTCAACTTTTTCAACTTTTTCAACTTTTTCAACTTTTTCAACTTTTTCAACTTTTTCAACTTTTTCAACTTTTTCAACTTTTTCAACTTTTTCAACTTTTTCAACTTTTTCAACTTTTTCAACTTTTTCAACTTTTTTAACTTTTTTAACTTTTTCAACTTTTTCTACTTTTTCAGCTTTTTCAACTTTTTCAACTTTTTCAACTTTTTCAACTTTTTTTTAATTTTTTGATTGTTAAACATTCCGCCTACTTTCTGAAAGTCTGAAATTAATTTTAGAGGATCAGAGGATCAGATACCGAAAATGTACCTCGAGCCAGTAGATCCAGTATAACAGTGACTGCCAGTAACATTCATAATAGAAATAATCCAATGAAAGGCTTGCTGCCCGAAGTTGAACAGCTGGATATTCTTCTGCCTTCCGAATGGATACCAGAGCTTGTCGAATATAAAAATTCCTATGGGAGATACGTTGTAAGGGCTTCTTATAAAGGTATTTTTTGTTTGATTTCTAGTTGCTACATCTACGCTAAACCATTCAATAATTTACCAATTAGGCACAATACAGTTTCGCGGGTTACAATATACTGTAAATTAATTTTCAAGCAGTACTAAGAGATAGTGTTAAGAGTGAGATTATAGGCCCTTTTGACTGAACCTAAAGTCCACGCTTAGCGGTAACCACGGGACCCAATTTGTATTTAAATGGGCCCCTAGATGACACACGGCTAGGGGGTTAAGTTCAGACAGCATGGGCCTAAGGAACCCTAACTTCCTGACGATGATTCAGAGGGCGGGGGAAAGGTTTGCCCTACAGGGACTATTACCTTTGGCAGTATATCTCTCTCTCTCTCTCTCTCTCTCTCTCTCTCAGAGATCTGACTAAGCCTTTGAATGATCGTGAGTTTTCATAAACCAAAATAATTGAAACAACAAGCATAAAACAAATAATTATGATTTATTTAACAAATAACTATGATTTATTTAACAAATATAGAGACAACTTGCTTCAACAATTCAGTAGTCCTTGCTGACTACACAAAACTAAATATTACTACTCAAACCTATTTACTTACATGAAAATTATATTTTAATCCGTTAGGCTGCAGGGCTGGCTGAGGCACACGTCACTTTTCCCACTGTGTGGCTTTACAAAAAAACTAACCGCGATTTCGTGTGACCGACCCGTGATTCTACTTTCCGACACAAAAAAAAGGAATTCACTTAGTATGAATGATTACGATCGCTCGTCAACAAAAACCAAAAGGAACCCCCGAAAATTAACTTGTCCAACTACACGTTTTATTATTTTATTGAAAACCTATTTAGCGCGCATGCCCTTGGACAAAATTTTACAAATCATAACATACCTATTTACAGGATGTTATATTTATTCGTAACAATAGTATAAAAAAGATAGTTTTGTGAGAGTTACCAAGTTTTCTAATAAATAATAATTATAACACATAGTAACGTCGTTGCAAAATGGCTACCTTTGTGTCCTAAAGGCACGCAGTAGCAAAAAATAGCGTAATACTAGATAATAAATCAAATATTTACCTGACAAATATGGCACAAGCACACGCTGTATTTAAAGATATATGATTAAGCTTTGAAAATTCGAATCCTAATGTACAGCTATCAATGCGCGACTTGCTATCACACCAAGCGTCATTTATACATGATTCTCGGATAATGGGGAACAATGGAATACAAGATGTCCCGTAAAATTAAGTAGAGTAGTTAAAATGAGTTATTGAAACTTTAAAGATAAATTTCACATAACAGTAACAGCAGTGCATGGTATCACCAGTGGTACACGTACCACAGTAATGAGAAGCGCCGCTAGCTTAACATATTGAACTGTTTATTTCCAGATCAGGTATGGCCGATCCCTTCAGACTTCATACCATACGATATATTCGATACCGGATACCGTATGGTGATCGAATTCCCCAAGTCTGGTACCAAAAAAGAACATGTTGCCAGGCGGAAATCAGAGCAACCCCCGGAGGACGATGGAAAGAATAGGAAACAGGCTGAGCTGGAAGAAGAAGAAAAAGAAGATGAAGAAGAAGATGATGAAGAAGAAGATGATGATTTAGATGAAAAAGAGTTTACAAAATAGGAATTACGAGAAGGTATTGACGTTATTGAAATTGTCAATTTTATATGTCATTCAAATTTTAATTCAATAGAGGACTTCTATACAAGGGAAGTGCAACCAACTTGACAAAAATTTTTGACACTAATGACATAAGAAATCGGGTCACATAAAGAGGCTGTTTATTTGTAAAATTTTTCGTTTTTCTTATCTACTTTTATGCCGTTTAGATACCATGTTGTACCCGTAACGTAAAAAAGGCTTTTTATTTTAGGGTATTTTACATTTACAGGTTGAAAACTTTTGTCAATTTTAGCTGTCGATAATGTCAAAACATAAGCGTAGCATTGCATTTTATTTTTTGTTATTAATAGTCTATTTGTGTTTCTCCTGCTTTTTTGAAACATTTTTTGTCATTTGGTTTTACTTATTTATGTCGATTGCAAAATGCTGCTGCAACGAATACAAGTTCTATACAATATACAACCAACATACAATACTAGTTACGTTGTGCCCATCTATGGTTACGCCTGTGTTCTACCATCAACATAATTGACAGCTGACAATGACAAAATGTTTCAACCTTTAAATGTAAAATACCCTAAAATAAAAAGTCCTTTTCACGTTACGGGTACAACAAGGTATGCAAATGGCATGAAAGTAGATAGGAAAAACCAAAAAGCAAACTAAAAAACAGCCTCTTTATGTGACCCGATTTCTTATGTCATTAGTGTCAATTTTATTTTGTCAAGTTGGTTGCACTTCCCTTGTATAGAAGTCCTCTATTCAATTCAAATTTTAATGACAGTGAGATTAGGTCACATACTTTGATTACCAAACGGTGTAAGACAGACGTCCGACACGCCCAACACAGGGCGCGGCCCTTTTGATGCAATGTACTGATTCACTATCAGGTTAGGTAACACATTTTTGGTATTTTGAGATTTTAAATGAAAGCAACACATGTAGAAGAAACGTTTATTTATTTTAAATAATAAGTATACAAAAACACTTCTTTGAAGTAAAGTTATAATTGTGAGTGCATCTTAAAATAGAGGAACTAATAATATTTATGTGTAATTAATTACATTCCCAAAAATATATACAAATACGGTATTAATTTCAACAAGCGATTCATATTTTATGCCATATCTTTTTTAATAAGGACTTTCAGAACCATATTTACCTTACTTGAATTTTTTTTAACGTTTTTTATATAGAATCTAAAAATGTATGACTTCAAACCTGAAACATCGTGTGAACTATTTGTTCGATCAATAAAAAACTTGCATCGGTCCTGTTTAATGCGCATGAGCTCCGACACACTATTTTTTTTTATATATGGAATTGGATTTCTATACTATTTCTATGCCTTATATTAATTTTTTTTTAGCTTATTTTGTTGCTTTAATGAAGAGCCCAGAAGAATAATTGTTTTAGTTACTTGTTCATCTTTATTTCCTAGATTTTTTTATTAATGTTTTTGATAATGTACTTATCGGTATAGGTACATTCTTAAAATGTTTCCATAATATGTCATTCTTATTTAATAAAATAATCTTAATGTTGTTTGTATTTGTATACCTATTTTTACACTATATTGTATACTATTCTGTAAGCCTGTTAATTATTTTTTATTTATTGTTTTTAATGTAGCGGTATTTTTTTAAGAACAAAAAAAGCTTGATTGTATTTTGTATTTTTTTGGTTTTAAAAATATATGTATGTAAAATATTTGTTTTATTTATCATTCCTATAACTTAATTATTAAAAAAAGATATTAGAAGGATTAAACTTTTAAGTATCTCACACTGTATATGCAAGACCTCTTTCTTACTATATAATATACCGGGTCATTTGCAGTCGCCCAAAAATGTATATTATACGTACATATAATTATAAAAATTGCTGTTAACACATTTGGTTTTATCAAAGATGTCGTTTACATTAAATTTGTCCGCAACATCTTCCTGACAGTACGCTATTAGTGAAGGTTCTGCAACAGTTCGGGCCATTTCTTATGTAAATTAACATGGGAAATCGCTAAGATTTTGGGGGTTATGATTGACAACCTCTGTTATTTTTAACAGGTCTGTTATTTTATAAACAAACAGAAATAACAACCTGTTCACAAATAACGTGTCTGTTAAAAATAACATTACTTGTCCATCATAACCCCTTTATTCTGCCAATTTTTGACGCATTCAAGGTCACGAGTCATGTCATTTGTCAACAGTGTTGCCAACCTAACCTAATATATATCAATCTAGAGTTGCCAACCTAACCTGAGAATTGATAGCTACGAATTTGCCTAACCTAACATGTCTAACGCCATTTTCAATCAGCGCCATTTTTTATCCTGAGTTGTCTACCGTTGGCTAACCTAGCAACAGCGTTGTCAACCTAACCTAACCCTCTCTGCTACCTCAGGATGACGACAGAGGTGTGGGGGAGTGGAGACGCCACGCCACCTGTCAGTGGTGCAACCACATTCTTTGATTACTATAAGAGGCAAGAGAGAATGCCGACACGCCCAACATAGGGCGCGGCCATTTTTAACCCTGTGACACAGTTTACAGCTAAAGAATCAGATAGCTCACTCTGCGTCGGCACTTTGGATCTCAATATTTCAGTTGAAAGTTCCAAAATAACATCCACTCCAGGGATACAAATTCAGGATACGCAGAGGACTGCTGTTTTATTATAGGCGGTTGTCATATATTGTATTATCTGAGTTGCGCAGTGTATAAACTGGAACCTAGAGATAAAAAGTGCCGACGCAGAGTGAGCGATCTGATTCTTAAGCTATAAACTGTGTCATAGGGTTCAAAATGGCCGCGCCCTATGTTGGGCGTGTCGGACCTCTCTCTTGTCCCGTATAGTAATCAAAGTATGTGGACACAGCTAAGTAATCCAAGATGGCAGCTATCGTGTTCAAAATTCTGCGCAGTGGCCTGCGCCTTTTTGGAACGGGAAAAATGTTGTAAAGAAGGCGGAGACGTTAAAAAGAGTGCAGCAGCAAAGCCAAAAAGGCAACTAGCTTTTATAAATGTCAAGGAACAACTGTTATCCAACCTAACATTACGTACGATAAGGGAGAAAAAGAGGAGAAGAGAGAGAAGGAGGAGAAGGATGAGAAGGAGGATAAAGAGGATAAAGAGGATAAAGAGGATAAAGAGAATAAAGAGGAGAAGGAGGAGAAGGAGAAGAAGGGGGAGAGTAAACCATAGGCAGAATTCCAAATCCTTGCTGTAATTCTAAATGTTTTAGAAGCAATAAAATATTTATTATATTTTTTGACGCTACTGCTGAAGATTCTAATATGAGCGAGAAAGCCTGCATTAGAAAAAGAAACAATGATTTTATTAGAGCGACATCAACATTGTATAGATTTATACAGGGGTAGCCTATCTGTCAATATATTATCTAAGCATTTTACAGGAGAAGCAAAAAACTGAATGTGCGTCTATGGTCACAGAGTGGTTTGGTGGTGAAAAGTCAAAATCTTGTCAAACAATAAATTGTCACCTTTACATCAATCAATCGTACTTTTTTTATGTGTGACCTGGGTAGGTATAACGAGCTGCACTTTTCACTTCTTATCTTTTTTTAAAACGATCTGTCTCTTATGGAAAAAAATCAAGAGGAACCGCAAGAGCCTAACGAGGATGAAAAACCAGTCGAAGACGAAGAAAAGCCTAAAAAGGAAGAAGAGAAACAGCCGGAGAAAAAGGAAAGGAAATCTTTCGGTAGAATAAAGAGGCGTCCTAAAATTGTTATTAGTGTTCGCGAGCCGCGCAGGAAGTCATCTTACGATGTTCTAATGGATAACCTTAAAGTTGCAGGCAGGGTAAGTCTTTTTGCACTTTTGCACAGTTATCTCTTTCTAGTGTATTTTGTATGTACGTTTCACATGCCTCTTAAGAATGCTGCGCTTACAAAAAACAACATAATGTATTTTATATAACTAAAACTCAATCACAAACTGACGGTAACAAAAATTACTCAAAAATAAATCGAGTAAATGCATACAATACTAGTAGAAGACTACTATAAACAGCATTGGCGTTTCACAGCACATCAATCTATGAGCCACATACTTTGATTACTATACGGTACAAGAGAGATGTCCGACACGCCCAACATAGGGCGCGGCCATTTTGATTCCTATGCCACAGTTTATAGCTAAAGAATCAGATCGCTCCACATACTTTGATTTTATTTTACTATACGGAGAATGGTCGCACTGCGCAGCTTTCTGAGTGCCTTTTAAAAGGAGATAGAAAACTCCGCCATTTTGAACCCTTATTACGTGTTGCCTACATCTTGGCACAATATTTTTAATAGGTGCGTTTTAATCATCCGCTTCTGCTTCGGAATTGTCGGTTTTCTTGTTTTAATCTGACAAGTTAAAACGACTAAACCGACAATTCCGTGAATATTATTTTTGGAGTCAGTTTATTGCTAAAGAATCAGTTAGCTCACTCGGACCAGTTGAAAGTTCCAAAATAACATCCACTCCAGGGATACAAATTCAGGATACGCAGAAGACTGCTGTTTTATTATAGGCGGTTGTCATATATTGTATTATCCGAGTTGCGCAGTATAAACTGGAACATTGAGATCAAAAGTGATAACGCAGAGTGAGCGATCTGATTCTTTAGCTATAAACTGTGTCATAGGAATAAAAATGGCCGCGCCCTATGTTGGGCGTGTCGGACCTCTCTCTTGCCCCGTATAGTAATCAAAGTATGTGTATATAATATACTTGTTGAGGTTAGATTCGTTTCGTTATCATTAGGGAAAGTTTACAACTGACCCTTATTGTTAAAGTCTCGGAAATACCCCAAATCCATTCGCTTTCTTTGTAGTCACAATCAGGTTTTAAACATGAGAATTAATTAGTCTGACAAATGAATTGTCAACCAAAGTCAATGACTATATCAAAGAGGATAGCCGAATCCATTCAATTTCTACTGAGTCTGGCGCGGCGAGACGTCATCCCTGAAAACTTTCAGCCGTCCCATTTAAAACTTACATCAATACACCCTATTTTCAAATAACGTTTTATTTATTTTTAACGTAAAAGATATTTCAGATATTCAAAAGATCATTTTACCAGAGAGAAAATTTAACTCATCTGAAAATTATAGATGTAAATAAATATGTAAATAGAAGGTAATAAATTTAAATACTATGGCCATGTTTTCTAAACATTTTTTTATTGAACTCATATTTAAGAACTTTGACATGATAAAGTAGAAATGTATATACAGAGTGAACAAAAAGTATATATGTACATTATTTACATTTCTAATAAGTTTACAAAAAAAAAATTTTTTGATGAAAGTTTCATGAAATAAATCAAGTTAAATCATGTTAATAAGAAATACACCTTCGTGCTTAATAAGAAATATACTGGGTTGACCAGTATTTATAAATTACAAAAGAATATATTTTTTAAATAATTTTTCGTACTAAATTAAATTTAAAATAAAACCGTTAAAATAACATTGTGCTAACTTTATTAGCCATCAGCAATCCATTTGTTATTTTCGAGTAATGGTGCGCCAGATATATTTCTAACTGACTTGATTTATTTCATAAACAAAATATAAACATTTCCTGACATACCTACACCATGAAAGTACGTTCGTCCTACCACGTCCCAACTACCTTAGAAGCTAGCATGCTTGGCCGATGTTTTGAAATTTGTGCGCACCCTTTTTACACTTATACCATAACAGCCAGCTCTGCTTGTTCCACCAACGGCCTTACCCCTAAAGGCAGGAGCGAGCGAAACAAGTGCGTCCTTTTTACACCTACACCATAAGAGCCAGCTGTGCGCGTCCTACCAACAGTGAAGCGAGGGCGCCCTTTTAACACCTTTACCAAAATAATTAGCTACTCTTGTCCCAATACCCGCCTTACCACAGGAGGAAGGAAGAAAGCGCCGGGCTGACGTTTCGAAATTCGCGCGCGCGAATTTTAAAAAGTCGACTGGGCGCGCCCTTTTCACACCTACACCATAAGAGTCGGCTACGCTCGTCCCAACAACGGCCTTACTACTAGAGGAAGGAGCGAGCGAATCGTGCGCGTTTAGCTGACGACCGAGCGCATTCGCTCTTTTCTGTAGCGGTTAGGACGTGGGCGGGACAAGTGTAAATTTCAAATTTAAATTTCAAAACGTCGGCTGTATACAGATAGAAAAGTAAAAATGCGATACTCTTTTTTTAGGGGACTTCTATCACTTTACCTTTGAATCCTAGTTCATGCCAGCAGAACTAATGCCAATTTATTAAAAAATATGTTTATTTTTTAGAAAACATTCCTCCATCGAATAGTGTACGGAGGCATCCACAATTTTCCAATAGAAAATCATAAATTCGACGCAATAAATCCTATAACGAATTTTTTTAAATCCATAATACACAAAACGAATAACGCGAATTATTGTTTTGAAAAATTGACTGGATTTTTGATGTATTACGATTGTCACTTCATTCACGTCGTCGAGGTAAGTTACATGTGGACACTTTTCGCAGGGTAGTATCGATATTTTCCTTAGAATATATATAGTCAGGAAGGAGGAATCCTGAACGACCTTGGAATCGCGAGGGTATCTAATTTTGACAGTGAACTAGACAAATATGGCGACTATGAAGACTAGATATAAGGAGGCGAATCGGCCTTGGTCAAATTTCAAATTTCCATCCCTATTTTTATGGAGTTCCAAAAAACTACTGTAGTTGGCGGGTGGCAAAATAACGACGTCTATTTTCTATGCAAGTCAATGGGAATTAAAGTGATTTTTGTAAAATTTAGTGAAAAGAATAAAAATAAGCTGAAATAAAGAACCTGACTACAAGTAACAATGAGTAACAAAAAACGGAAAAGCAGGATTTCTTCGTTTCGGGTTGAAAAACGGGATATAAATCCGATATAAAATTAAAGAAAGCACAAGGAGATAAAAATCCAAGTCTTTTTAAAGCTCCTAGTGTAAGTAAAATAATGTATTTATTTCTAAATAATATATATTTATTGTAAAATAGTCACAACCCGTATCTTACGGAGTGTCTTATTTAATTACAAAATTTTATAATAAAAAATAATAAAGTCTTAAATCCTGACTTATAAACAACAACAATAATTACACATTAAATTTAACTTACTAGAAAGGAAAATTTGCTTTTTTTATGTTTTTTGATTTTAGATGAAGAGTTACTACTGTTATTTTTCTTTATTGAACTTCAATTTAGTCATTGCAAATATTTTTTATAGGATCCTAAATGTTTAGAACAATGGCAGCATGTGATTCCTAGGGCTGATAAAGTACTGTCTAGTTATGATTCTGTTTGCAAGCTACACTTTTTAGAAGATGATATTTTAAAATTTGATGAGACTATTTTAACTAATGGTACTGTTAGCAAAATAAAAAGGGGACAGCTGAAATTAAAGGATGAGGTAATACCACGTACATTCCCAAATCTCACTTTATACTTGTATTACAACAATAAAAATCTGTTAACTGTGTTTTATTTTACTCTTAAAACTATATAGTGATGGTTCAATTCAAAAAAAAAAATTGCCACAAAATTGTACTTATCAAATTTCAGCAATTAAGAAACCTTTTCGAATTTGGTCATACATACCAAAATTGTATTTTATATAGATAAAATTAAATAATTTATCAATTAAAACATGAAAGACTTATTTAGAAATAAATACAACAGTATGTTCTGTGCTTTATTTAGCTGTAAACAAGTTTATTTTTATTATTTTGACAAAATTATGTATAATTCCCATAAGAAGCCATGTATTTCGAACTACGTAAACCGTACCAGCGCCCATGTGGTTAATTATAAAAGCTCAATTGACGTGTGATTTTTGGGTCCGTATTTTGAGCATGCCGATTTGCCTCCTTACCTCTAGTCTTCATAATGGCGACTAGTATTTCCGGTCTACCAGTGACGTACTATCATAAAGGAGCGTAGAAAAGAAAATAATAAATTCTCATTTGCATATTATCTAAATTTACCGATTTCTCTCATTTGAACGAATTGCTATTTTCTTTTATAAATAAATAGTCGAAAAACACTCCTACTTAGGGGTGTTTTTTGCAATTTTAGGGGTGTTCCAACCATTGCTGCCAGTTTTAAGCCTCATTTTCGTAATCAGCGCCCCAAAATACGTAGGGGACAAGTGGTCTCATCAAGTGCGGCGTTTCTCGCCTTTTACCGTTATTTTTAATGGACTAAATGCGCTAATGCTGGCGATGCGAATACATTCTCGTATGTTTAGGAAAAGTTTACTCTGTGAATCGAGCGTATTAAGACTTTACCGGAGATGGCTCATAATATCATAATAGGCGTTTTCGGAAACTTACTCGGATCAGAAATATTATAGATCCTATTTTTCGTTTACCTATATTGTTACTAAACCTATCCGTGTTTGAAAACTAGTAGATTACTGATCCAGCTTTGTGTTAGAGATCAATATTTTGTTATCCACTCTGCGAGTGGATTAGTAATAGATCCACATGCGCACCGCAGGGTTTTATAAAGGGATAACGTAATTTTTGATGTCTGGTGTCTGCTTTGAAGTTTTTTCAACATTCAATTAGTAACAACTTATAATATTTATGCCCATATTGCAAATTTATTAGTCAGACTACAAATATGTTTAATTAAAATGGTTCTAACAAATAAGGATTTATAATATTGACAGTTACGCGGGAAAAGTCAAAGATTTCGAAAACGCCTGTTATTTTGGCAACAAATTGTATAATCAAATATGGAAAAACGTTTAGGAATTACTATTTTAAACCATGATTTAAACCTGATTGGTCCCAAATATTATATTAATTTATTTTTAAATTTTAGGGAGACGAAGATGCCCTCGGAATACATTTGCAATTCATATATGAGCCGGATTCTAGAAAAAATTTTGAGAATTTGAAACTGTTTAGCATTCTTAATCACATTAATGATGTAAGTCATTTGTAAAAGCGTAAGAGAAGACTCCGTCGGGAGTCTGATAACTTAAATCAAAAAAATATTTGAAACTTTACATAAAAACGTAAAATAATAACCAAAAATAGTAGTTTAAAGTGTCTATCCATCTCGATTTAGGCGGGACAGTTCCGATTTTGTCCTGCTTTTGCCCGACGAAAAAAGAATATATACATACCTAAAAAAATAAAGTTATTCGAAACATTCTAAATAAAAATATAATTTTCAGAGATTAACGAGTGATTGGTCATTTTATTATGGCATACCAAGACAATGTGTGACCACTCTAGACACTCACGCCTCTTTAAGAGATATCGCTTCGGTCTTGTACGTGTGCATCCTGAAAGTTTTCAAATTGATTATGGAAATTGCATCTCAGAGGATTGGATCTAATCCCGATGTTCTTGTAGATCCTTCAACTTATGTAAGTTTTTAAAATTATATTTCTGACATTTCTAGCAGTCACCAGTTACCAGCAGGGTTATTCTACTAAATTTATAGCCCGGCTACAAGTTGGATTTTGGCTTGAACTTTATATGTTCCTAAATTCAAAATCCAACTTGTAGCCGGGCTATAAACTTTTAGCCGGGCTATAAATTTAGTAGAATAACCCTGCAGAGCCCTTAGAGATCAAGCCTAGCGACAAAAAAGGTCATATACTGCCATGTCTTGCGCTGTATTCTGATTTAACTGTGTGATCAATGTTTTATTAAATTTTGTAAATTTTTAAAAAATTAACATTTCAGAAACTTCTAGAACGAGAGAAAGAAAAGGAAAAAGACAGGGCATCTCAGGAAAGTAATCCAGTTCGCGTTCGTTCTAGCATACAGAGTCTCAATCCAACACGTATAGTTTTAAATCCGTTGAAGGGTTTTTTGCCTGAGATTGAACAGTTGGATTTTCTTCTCGAATGTGATTTTCCACCAAATCTCGAAGAATATAAAATGGCCTATGGGGTATTCGTGATAAAAAAATCTTATAAAGGTAAACTTTTTGTTTGTATTCATTTTATCGCCACGGTGGTATTGTTGAAATCGGGTACAATAGGATCTGAACCTGATTAGAGATGGTGTGTTCTTATTGATGGTTATCGTGCTTTCGTCCAGAAATTTTCTACTTCAGTAGCTGACGTTTGATATTCTATCACAGGCTGTGGGTCATCAAGTAGTCTAGAGGGTTTGGTGTGGAAGGTGTTTTTATCCTTAATTCCGCTAGCTTTCTTGATTAGGCTCTTATTTATGACTCCTAAAAAGCGTATACGATCTAGGCAGCGTTGCTTGATTGTAAGCAGCCTTGCCTTATTCAGATTGTGGTGTTTTTGATGCAGTAAAAGACCGCTTAGCTGTAATATATTCGACCACACGCTGTATACGAGAAGCGTGTTGCCGTGTCAGAAGGATTTTATTGGTAATTCTGTGTATTCGGCGTTCCGTTTTGAGTATTTTATCTGCATAGCGTTACCTTTAGCTTTTCCCACTAGCTGATTAGCGGCACGATAGACGGCATTGTTAAGGGTTATAATGTCTGTTATATCTGAAAATTCTCCAGCGAGAGCTGCATCCATGTTGATGATATCCTGCGGTTTGATATAACACATGTTAATTCTTGTTTGTCTTAGTCATTGTTGGTGTTCTCGGGGTAAACGTGCTGGGTAGCTCTTGAACCGGTTGAATCTGATCTTGAACTGGTGCGGCTGGTACTTCTGTATAATTTTGTGGTGTTCTTACATAACCGGATTTGCGAAGATAAGCTACATGGTCTCTAAGATGTTGTTTAGAGATGTGATTAAACTCTGGGTGTCTCTCGCACCACAATCCATGCATTCTTGCCATGTAACCTCTTCGACCAGGCTCGCTATTTTCGTATGCGTCCAGCTAATCGTCCCTGAGTTCATCCGTCCACCGAAAGCGTTCATTTCCCTTACCGGGGTCGTTATTGGACATACATCCTGGTGCTGCCCATCACCCCCATCCAAGTAGGGTGGATTGTCAGGAGTGTGCTCTACATTGCTAGTCGTAAAACAATGCGAGATCCCAGCACCCTGGGATGTTACCCCAGGGCACTTCGACGAGTTACGGTATTGCATGGGCTACTGGCTCGATTTAAGGCCCGGTATAGGTCACCAGTGTGGTTACTCATCCCGGGTACTGCTACCAATGGGGAAAGCCTAATACTCACTCGTTTAGAAATTTACGTATGGTGTGGTACGTATTCAAAATTACTGCTTTCTGCATGTCGATAAAAGTGTTTTTATAAATTCCCAGTTAGACCTTCCTGCAGATTTTTCGGCATGGGACCCGTGGATGATACTATAAGCGGTACTACCTCAACGTTCTTTGCTTTCCATATCTGTTTTATTTCAAAAGCGAGTTCAGCATATTTGGCTATTTTCTCTTTTGTCAGAACGTTGTTGTTATTCGGGACCGCGACATCTACCAGGGGGTCGATTCTCGACTCGTAGGAATTTTTTCCTATAGGAATTTTTGACATTTTTATATACATCGAAAATTTATGACATTTTCATACATATAGGAAAGTGTCACAAATTCCTATAGTAAAAGGTTCCTACAAGTCGAGAATCGACCCCCTAAAGTACACTTTTGTTTGTTTTATCCATCACCACGATATCAGGCTTATTGTTCGGCACCTGCCTATCGGTGGTAATAGTCCAATCGCAGTAGAGTTCTGAACATATTTTGAGTATGCGCAGTACAAAATAACTGTTCCAACAGAGCAAAGTTCCAAACAAATTGAACTTGTTTGGTGTTTCCGCAGGATTAAAAACTTGTTCATAACATGTTTTGGTATTAGTTTTAATTGTTCCTAAATAAAATACGAACTTTTATTTTCGAGCATGCGTGCTTATTTAAAATCAATTTTCTTCTTTTTCTCCTTTGTTTTTAATTGGATTTTTGGTTAGTTTTGTGAGTGCCTATTATCTTTAATTTTGACAAAAATCTTATACAGTGTTGTAACAGCAAAAATATAATAAGGAGGGTAGTTTTTATTTGTGAAATTTTGAATTCATCATAAAGTATAACCTCAAAATCTTCTTTTTTTAATATATATAATCGAATGGCCTGTATTTAGTTAAAACAGTCAGCAACATTATTTTTTTAACGTTCCAGCACACATTTATTCAAAACTCATTCCAACCATTATTCTGCTTACGCATGCGTATCAGATAATGTTTGTAACAAGTTTGGAACTCGCTTTGGGAACAAACCTTATAATTGTCATTTTCTAGTATTTTCTGTGATTTCTAGTACTTGTAGTATGGTGTATATGTGGCAAGCAGTCCAAACTTGTTAGCCAACTTCTGATGGATAATGTTGTATACTTGGTTATGCCGCCGTTGGAAGTCATTATTAGCCAATGTACTACAGCCAAATGTTATCGAACTGGTGTTTGGGTTCCTAATCACATATTTTTTGTAAATATTGGTGTTAATTACCTGGTCCTGAATAGCCATTAGAAACCCTTCTGTTTCGGGAAAAAATGTACCATTAGTAAGCCACTTATTGGATGCTTTATTGGCAATATGCGGCTGGTTAATATCATGGTGGTGTCGGCCGTGGAGCTCTTTCTGTGACCATTGTTCTTGTTTTTCCATGTCTGTTATTGCTTCCAAGCTGATATCAGTGTTTGAGAGGTTTAATGGCGAATATTTTTTATCAGCCTTTATAACCGTATTATGTAGACTAGAGCTTTCTGCTTTGCTGAAAAATATATCTCTCAATTTTCCTGTTTGTCTAGTATGTAGGTTAAAAATGTCAATTAAGGCTCTTCCACCTTGCTTCCTGGGTAAAGTGGTTCGAATTACAGATGATCTTGGATGATGAGAGTGGTTTTTAATCATCATCATTCGCATCAATCTCTGAATTTCTTTCAATTCAGTTTTGCTTCAATTTAGTATTCCAAACGAATAGGTTAAGAGCGGTATAGCATATGAGTTCATTGCCTCTATTAGATTACCTGCATTTAATTTGCTTTTAATATTTTCTAGCACAATACGTATCTGTCACGACGTGTCTAGCCGACTCCGCCGCAAAAGAAGAAGAAAGTTACTAATGTTTCTCTCTTCTTTCTCTTCTCGGCGGCCTCGGTTTAGCGCAATCGAGAAAGCCGTAGCGTTCTTAAGAATATTCTACGCCGGCGCCTTTAATTTTATACAGGGTCGAGTAAAAACAAACCGAATAAAAATCTAGATATTTTTAGCTTTCCCACTTTGTTTTTTGTTTAATGTAGACAGAGCCTTCGTATTTAATAACGTTTTAGAATTTATTTTATTTTCTAGAGAACGTATGGCCTATCCCTTCCGATTTTATACCCTACGATGTCTTCGACACTCAATACCAGCTGGTGATGGAATTTCCCAAATCCGAACAACTCGAAAATTCATTGTCAGCAGATAAAATGTTAGAAACCGAAAAACAGAAAGATGAAAAAAACTACTAATTAAGAACTGATTTTGAAATTCATCTAATGAACTGCATTTCAAAAATTTGAATCGCTTTAAAGCACAAATAAATAAGAATTAAAGGGGTAAATAAATTTTGGAAAAATTTATTTTTGATCGGTAAATTCTCACAAAGCATTAAACCCGAAATTTTGTTGTTTTTATTACCATTCTTTAAAGGTCATAACTAAAGAACAGTACCTTGTATAATTTTTGACATATGGCTCACATTTTTTCGTTAAATGTACAAGAGATAAGTATTATCAAAATCAATAAATTCTTGTGTTTCTACATACTCGAAACAACGCCCTGTACATCAGAAATTTTAGATATTACATTTTTTGATGAAAAGACCACAATTTAATCAAATATTTCTTTAAATTTAATTTATTTGTGCTTTTATTGATTTCTTCAAAAATGATCTTTTATACAGGGTATTCCTAAATGTCATGTCAATAATGAAGGAATATTTTATAACTAATATTTTATGTAAAATTGTGCTCCAGTCCAGACTGTTCTTTTTTTCAATACAAATAGCTAAAAGAGTATTTTAAAAACTTCAATATTGACATGCCATTTAGGAACACCCTGTATTATTGTGTCATTTTCCGGTACCTCTGATATTTTTTCCTTTTTTCTACTAACAGTTTTCTTTTATGTTTGTAGCTCTCTACGTATTCATCTATCTCATTTACCTCTTGGTCATGCATTCGTACAATTTATTTTATATTATTTTAGTTTATTTTATATTTTGTAACATTAATTTTATATCAGGTATTTTATGTTTTATATATTTATATATTTATTTGTACTTATATACATCGGTATCATTCTTAAGCAACTACGTATCTACTCTAAAATTTTGTTTTATATTATTTTTGTAAATAAACTGTCTAAAGTATAAAAGCAATTGGTTATTCATCCCTAATATAAACAATAGTATTAATATAATAGACCGTCAGATATTTTCGCATACAAGCCTCGAAGAGGGCTAAAAAGTACATCGATGTTGAGTATAGGGAATAACTATGTGCGTCCGTTGAAGCATATTCCTCTCCAAAACATTACAGAGCCTTTATTTTTGGAGAGATATTGCAACTTGCAAATCTCTCTCCTGCCCTTCGCCTAACACGTTCACGCCCATCAGGAGAATTGTGACTAACTCTTGTTTCATCAGAAAATATAACCTTCCAATCATTAACAGTCCAATGTTGATAATTTCTGGCAAAACGCAATCTTGCAACTCTGTGCTCTCTGGTGAGTAATTGTTTCTTTGACGGTCTTCTGTTGCTTAAACCAGCCTCGTTTAAACGTCTCCTGATTGATCGAGACGATATTGTATGATGGCGAGCAGTTCTAAGATCACTATTTAGCCTAGTACTAGTGATCTTACTGTTTCGTAGAGCAGTGTGCCTAATAAAACGTAAAACATTCATCCCTTAGATCGGTACATCGTTTTCGTCCTTGTCCTGACCTTCGAGATCCTTTCTCGTTAAATCGTTCAACCGTACGAATTATAGTCGAACGATATCTTCCTATCACATTAGCAACATGATACATCGATGAACCCTCAACCACCAAAGTTAAAGCTCTTACTGCTTCTTCTGCCGATAAAGTTTTTGGACGATTCATTTTTCAAGATTAAAATACTCGTCTGGCAACTGGGCATACGAAACGAATGTTTAATAAGCAGTTTCTGAACAATTTTTATCAGTATGACGAATTTTATTTAACTTTGTAACACATCGCTTGAAATGTCAGCAAAGGTCCATAGCCTACTTGAAAACATGTTAAGCTATCAAACGGCGTATCTCCTTTAATAACAGAGATAATGAAGTAAACCAAAAAAGGAAATGTTGGCGAAAGATGGACCTACCGCGTAATGTCAACTACCATATGTTTCGGTTGCTAGTATACTCCACAGGGTGATACGAATTTTCGGAAAAAACATTACATTTTTTATTACACCCGATATAAATCGAAAAGGAACTTTTTATCATAAACAGAGAAAATTCTGACATTGTAGGAACCAACCTATAATGCAAAAAAAAGCATTCAAATCGGATCATAAATTCAAAAAATAATAGCTTCAAAAATGTGGAAAATTTATGATGTTGCGTTAATTTTGTCCAGGAGTTTATATGATTTTTATAATGCGTTTTTGTAAAGTATCTAGTTTTTTAAATGAATTTTTGACGTTCCACCCCATGCTATTATTTCATATTTTAAGCGGGATTCTAACGTATAGTAACTATATAGTCTTAAGATATTTAAGATCAAGGATAATTTTTAAATATTTAAATTTAGTAACATCATTCTTAAAGTTTTTGTTTCCATATTTATATGGACATTCTAGTGCAGATACGAATCAATAATTACACCTAAATATTTCGATGTAAATTATAGAAGCATGTGTAGAAATCACTGGAAATTATTTTCAAATTCCTAACTGCCTCAATAGGAGGTGTAATACAACAATAAAAAGTGGTTCTTTTCTAAAAAAAAATAATTTTAAATTTAGTTAAGAATATCAAAAATATTAAAATCGTAAGCTGTTCGAAATTTTAATCAATTTTGATTACCTTCTCGTTTATCTGGTATTTATCATTCTGTATATGTAGCGTGCGTTACCCCACGGCACTTATGCCTCACTAGGCCCCATTATACATACTTCTAGCTGAGCCAGCCTACATATTTAATGTAATTGATAACGTCAAGGGGTGCTTCTCTTAAATCAGCCAATTCTCGCCGAATACAAATCTTCTAATAAATGAGAGCGTCGGGCAATTGTAGAGGATATGCTCCATGGTCCAATCTTCTGTTTCGCACCTCCTGCAGATTGAGGATTCTGACAGTCCTGTGATGTGGAGATGTTCCCATACTTGGCAATGACCAGTAAGAATTCCTGTTATCAAGTGCAGCTTCTGTCTAGTCACAGTTTGTTGCAGTGTTGTCAGGATAATTTAAAAGCTCCCTGGTATTTATCATTGATCATAAGCGTTATGATATCTTTATCTACATCCACCAAACTTCCTTATTTGAACACCCGGTACATTCTTGCCTACGGGAGGCCTGGAAAAAATTAGAGTTTTAAAGTATTTCTGGAGTACTGTTCGTTGAATCTGACAATAATTGGGGTAATTCTCGTACATTATTCTCTATTTTAATACATTTGCCGTTTAAATGAAATGCATACACAACTTTAGAAACCTCTATCACAAATACATAACTTGCTATCATACGAGGTGATTTAATAAATCGTTGTAAATTCACTTTAAAACTTTTATAATTTGTCAAAATTTAGTTTTGTGTACAGTACAGTCAACTGCATTTTTCTTGTCCTTAAATATGTAAAAATAACTATTTTTGCTTCAAGGTAATGTTAAACGTGAGTAACTTCGCCCAGTTACTTAAGTAATTAATAATTTGTTTATAAAATAACCGCGATAAGAATAACCATAAAACCGTATCACAAATAAGTAAAAACAATAATCTAACTAGGTAACCGACTTTTTAGGTTTACGATACTAATTCATGTTATTTAAAGTATTTTTTTGGAAAAGGATATGAAATAGTTATCAACAACATTAGTTTAAGAGATCCGCCATTTTGTATGTGGGTAAACCAAAATCTTTGTTTCAAGACAGATCTGTCTTACAGGCAGTGTTTTTTCTAGGGATTTTTAAATTGTACAACTTTTAATGTCAAAATTGTACACTTTTACGTTCGATTGTACAACCACTAATTAATATTTTTCTTTTTTATTGATAACATAAGGCCTACTATTTCACGCTGCTTAAAATTATTCTTTTCTTCCAGTTTAAAAAATGTTTTCGATGTAAAACGGTGTACTGATTGGTCGCGAATGGCGCCAAATTTAAACATTGTTGTTTTATTAATTTTAGTGCATACTATTTAATGAAGCGTAGACTTTTTGAGCAAATGAAAGCCTATTATATACCAGATCTCACACAAATATTTAGCAACTTCAAATTGTACAACATTTCTGCCTTTCTTCAAAAGTGCGTACAACAGTACAACCAATAACTGATTGTACAACTTTTTGTACAATTGTACAACCAGGATATTATTTTGGAACATTCAACTGGTCCAACTAATTCTTTAGCAATAAACTGTGGTTTGGGTTTGTGGGTTCTATCTGATGAATAGAGAGTTCCTATCTTCAGTAGGTCCAGAATATTTTCAGAGAATGGGAGATCTAATCCTTGGGCGTCGGTGAGCAGTCGAAGGTTTGGTTAAGGTGTTTTTATTTTGGGTTTTCGGAAAAAGGGGTAAGTGATTTTGTTGTCAAGAAATGTGTAGGATGAGTTGGGCGTAGGCAAATCTCCTCTATTTACATTTAAAACCCGGTCATACATTGCAAAGAAACGTAGCTATTTCGTAAATGAACCGACATGCGTTTCCTGGTGCGCTGTTGTCAGGCTGTGTAGTTTATCCCTTTCTTATTTAAAAATAGTTTTTACCTATAACTTACTAATAGCAACAAGTTTTATTTATTAGAATAGTTTCGAGATATATTGCGATACATCAAGCGTCCCCACCAATTAATTTTCGTACCTAGTGCAGTGTTTCCAACTCCGATGCATTGTGGACAGAGATGTTGCAATATTTCCCGAAACATTTCTAATAGTACCTAAATCTCTAAATAAAATGACTTGTAACAAAACAAAAAACGTATAAAATGTGTACAAAGTAGATTAATCTATTTTAACTGCTTTCAGCAGAATTGATATTTTAGCAGCACCTATTTTTACACATTAGGCAGGGCACTTTTGTACCTATCGTTTTTACATACATACGCTTGCTAAATATCAACTTTGCAAATACTAAGATAAACTATGGCAAACACCATTATTATTCCTGCAAATAAATGCAAGTATTTTAAAAGCGTTAAACGTGACACCACCGCAATTTAAAATAACCTTGTTCCGTTCATACTATACGTCACGGACGTCACATATAGTAATTTATCCATCGATAGTTTGCGACGTTGCGATCCAGTAAATTGTTGCATATTGGGTGTTTTTGTTAACCTTTAGACTTTTTTGGAAAAATTTCAGCTTGTGTATAGCTAACAACATGGTTCGCGAGTGCATTTTGAGCAAAAAAATGGAAAATGTGGGTGCTGAAGTATCTTTTCATAAGTAAGTAAGGTTAGGTGATGATGTATTGCATAGTTCAGTGTAAAGATTTTTGCCGTAATATCACATGTATTATCTACTTTTGTATTACTATTATTTTCTTTGATCTTTCAACATTATTAATTTCGCAAAAAATTGTAACTATTAGAAACACTTCAGTCTGCACTATAGGTAGTGGTAAAATAAATATGCTTATGCTTGATATTTAGATTCCCAACTGAAAGGCATTCGAGAAATATTTGGCTATCACTTGTAGGACTTGAAGAAAATTTAGGTATCTAAAAAAGAGTGTTATGCTCGGAGCATTTTGATCTTAATGATATTCTTCAAAAAGCAAATATCTCTAGCCTGGAGCACTGCCAAAACTAAGTTCATTGTTTCCAGAAAGCTCATTTAGGTCACTAAAACCTTTCTTAATTATATTTCGAAAATGTTCATTTAAGTGTTTATCCTTTAAGATGAAAGTTGGTAGTTTATCTTACAAAGAAATTTTTATATTGTAAGTTCTTTAAATTTTGTAGGTGCTTAACAAGGACAAACTTTTTTGTAAACTCATATTACATGCCTCTTTCTTTGATTATTTTTATGAACTACCTTATTATTCATCAAAATGTATACTTATCTT